TTCCCGGGCCTGAGGAGTATTTGGTGAAGAATTTTGCAATTTAAGCCCATGACTGGAGCAGATGCCTCCTGTGTGCTGAGGGGCTTGCGCTTTGTGGGCGGGGAAAAGGAGTGGACATTGTTTCTGCCCTTAAGGGTTTTGAGAATTGTGTTGAATTTAATAAAAATGATCTACCTGGATCTAACTAAAATTTCCCCTTTTCTTTCTCTGCTGTTTTTCTTTACATCTTGTGCCTCATCTCACTTTGAAAAAATATTGTAATTATCTTTTTTTTTTTTTTTTTTTTTTTACTATTATCAGACAAACATGCATTGATCCTTAATTATGTGCCGGGCATGGCTGTAAGGACACAGAATGAGTCCCAGCCTCCAGAGCGTGCTGCCTGTGGGCTGAGGACCTGGAGGACAGACCGTTCCCTGCACTTGATGCAGTGATTCTCACCAGGCCAGTTCGCCCCCCAGACCAGGCAGTGGCTGGAAACATTTGTCATTGTCACACTGGGTGGCATGGGGGCAGTGCCACTGGCGTCCTGCTTAGTAGAGGCTAGAGATGCCATTTAACACCCTGCAGAGCATGGCACTGCCCCCAGATCAGAGAACGATAGACCCTAACTGTCAGGGTGTCCAGGCTGAGAGACCGAGGTGTAGTGTGATCATTGTTTCTGGTGCGTTTGTGCCTGGCCCTGTCCCGTGGTGGATGCGTGCGTGCGTTGCTGTTGCCCCTAGCTTGGGTTAGGGTCTGGGCGGCTGAGCTGATCCCGAGGACAGGAGGAATAATGAGGAGGGGGCAGGCACACCGAGCTTCGGGAGTGGTCTGGGCAGCACCTGGAGGCGACAGTTGGGGACATCTGGGGAACAGCAGTGGTTCATGATGACTAGAAGCTGAGGGAGAAAGCCAGAAGGGGAGGGAGGAAGAAAGTCAAGAGGCGGGTGTGCAGGTAGCCAGCCGGAAGCCAGAAAACAGACGGCTTTGTATGCTGTCCTTCAAGGCTGTGGGAGACCAGAGAGAGGTTTTAAGTGGGTCGTTACATTCTCAGATTTGTCGTTTGGAAGGGTAACGCCAGTGATTCAAAGAGAGCTAATTGCAAGGAGACTGCTAGGGATATAGAGTAAAAAAACAAATTATGTATTAGTGTTTCTANTCTTGCTTCCTTTCAGGCAGCAGGAAGCCTCCGCATTATTGCTGCTGGCATTTTCTTGTAAAAATTACTAAGGATTAATTAGAAATTATTTTTATTGTACTGGGACGAGGCAACACTGAGTTAATCATGTGCCCTAAACATTAATTTAATCAGTGGTTCTCAGTCATTTTTATCTCAGACTCCTTAGTCTTTTAAAAATCAAGACTACAAAATGCGGGTTTATCTACAAATATCGTTAGAAATAAAAACTGGGAAACTTTAAGAATCTTAATTTATTAATTCACTTAAAAATACTAATAGTAAAGCCATTATATGTTAACATAAATGACATTTTTTAGTTTTTTAAAGAAAAACTATATTTTCAAAAACTACTAAGAGGAGTGGCATTGGTTTTACAATTTTGGGAATCTCTTTCATGTCTGGCTTAATAGGAGACAGATGGGTTCTCACATCTGCCCCTTCATAGACTTTTGCAGAGATCACACTTCATGTAACCTTTGGAAAATTCTACTTATACAGATGAGAGAATAAAAAAGGCCAAAAACATCTTGTATTGTCATAAAAATAGCTTTGATCCGGTGGGCACTGGAGTTCTCAGGGGGACACAGAGTTCTCGAGGGTCCCTGGACCACACATTGAGAACCACTGGGCTAAACTATACATTTCTTGAGGGCAGAGACCATTGTCTTGGTTTCCTTTTTTCTGTTCCTGGGATCCTTGTGAAATACCCTTTATCTTGATTCCTCAGATGTGTTTACTGAGCCACTTTCCCCTATAAAATTCCAGGGAAAGGAGCCATCCAGTGAGTCAGGACTGAACTTCCCTTAGTTAGTCATGGTGCAAGAATTCATCTAAACCCTTTGACTCTGCAGCCACTGAGGTGCCACCGGACACTTCTCACTGTGTCTGATCACAGGGTAGACTGGCCACAAATCAAGATAAGACATTTGGAAAGAAATATTTCCTCTTCAGTACAATGAATTCTAGGAAGTCTTGAAGGTTGCCAGGTAGAATTGTTTCCTAGGAATGCAGTGGAAAAGTCCTTGCAGAAGAGCTAGGAGCCTGGCTGGCACGTGGGCCCACTGTGCTCTTCCGGTTTACATTCCTGCACCAGGGCAGTGGCCGGTGGCCCGAGAGCAAGTGGAAGCAGTTGTGAGCTCTCCAAGTGACAGCCTTTCATTTGCCAAGGGCTGTGTTCGTGTTCTCCAAACTTAAGGTAGAACTGTGCAAACTCAGGCTGAAAATACGCACACTGTTGGTATTAAGTTTTCAGACTTTTGATAAAATGTAGGTAAGCAACATCAAAAGGTATCTTAAAAACTCCGTGGTTAGTTTTGCATAAAACAGGTATGTGTACAACTTACGATGTTTACATTGGAGCAAATTTATCAGCTGCGTTAGGAAAAAATCTTCCTGAATATAGTGGCATAAAAGCAGCCGCCTTTGCATTTGACTTGCAAAGAAATGGAAGCAAAGACAGTTTGCAATCAGCATGAGTTTGTCTGCTTTATCTGAATGAGCAGCGGCATTTTCTAACTGCTTGCCTGTCGGCACACAAGTCACCTGTGGTACATTCTTCCTAACAGCCTCTGAACTTCTGTCTCTGTCCTTTCCTTCCCGGCCGTACATTGCCGCCTCTAGCGCCTCAGCATGGAAGGGATCTCACATGTCATTCAGAATGGGCTCCGCCACACCTTTGGAAATTCGGGTGGAGAGAAACAGGTGCTCGGTTACGCTTATTTCCCTCATTCTCTGCTTTTCCATTCTCTGTGTAAGTGATGGCCCTGAAGGCTGGCAGTTTCACTAATTTACTAAGACTTGCTTAAAAGAGAAACGAAGGTTTATCCTATTTATAGTCTTGATAATGCATAGAATCTCCCTTTAGGAAAAAGCATTTTCAAATTGGACAGTAGACTAAATGCGTTCTTAATGCATGTTTTAGAGCTCCGTTTTTCACTCTCACCTTTAAACAAATAGATATTAACACATATACTTAATGAATTGCATGTGTAGAATATGTAATTGTGAAAAACAACTAGAATATGCTACTCTAATTCTAAAAGTTTAAGAAACAAGATCTCATTTTGGGGAAAGAAAACCAAGTGTTGCTATCTTTTAGGTTACAGTTCTAGGTCAAAAGTGTCTATAGAGTATAACTTACCTCCTTTTAAATGCTATTTGTGTGTCATTCAGGTGTAGCATATAGTCAGCCAACTCACTCGTTTACCGAAGGCACAAAACATTATCTTTACAAAGTCACACATGGATATGGGTATAGCAGTTTGCTTTTTATTAACGAATTTGCATAAACTCAGGAATATCATGAACATGGGGAACACATCTACATTGAGTGTGATTAAAATTACTTTTCACATTCGAAATTTTCACCTCACAAGGAAAACCCTTCAGTTTAGCTCTTAAGATTGAGAAAGTGCAGAATGCACTGTAGGCAGTTTATCAAAAGAAGGTGTTCGAGCCTGGGGTTTTTACTGGGAGATTTTTCTGTATTGCTTAGGGCGGGGAATAACCAACATGAAATAACCCTCACACTGGCATTTGTAGCTTATGAAGGGGTTGCACGCAGGGATGGCTGAATATTTTTTAAATTTAATTTTGGTGCTTCTCACCTCTCTCAAACCCACAAGATGGCAAAATAACTCCCCAGCTGCCCCAGCACGCGGGAGCCAGGCCGGACGCACGCCCAGGCGGCTCCCCGCGCTTCTGGGGCTGTCACACAGGCCTTCAGTGAGGCCAGGAGGACACCTTTCCAGCTCCTGGGTATTCACAGGAAACATACTCGGGTGCACAACTGGGCATCACCTTGGACAGGTCTACGCCAAAAAGGTGACGGAAAACGTTTCTTAAAGATTGAACAATTCACACTTTTTCAACTTTTCTGAACCTAGGGATCCAGTTATTGTTCAGTAACGTTATCTTGGGATCAAATCACTCAAAGGCGATTAGGAAGAGGGCTGAGATGTGGGCGGGGCTAGGTAGTGGGAGGGGCCGAAGAGATTCCCAGGAAAACCAGTGGATCCCTAGATGAGCCTCTGCAGACTGCACTCAGCTGCAGTTTTTGGGGGAGTGGCCAGAATAGGAGAATCTGAGCAATAATTTTTGGATTGTGCTTTCATGGGACACAATTATAGGGCATAAGTGATACTGTGAGCCATTACACTAAACGAGGCTGTCTCAGTTTCAGACGTGGATTTTCATTGTTCATTCCTTTGGGCCACTCTCTCCCACTTTTCTCCTTTCCTTTAATACCTTTAAGCATTTATAACTACTTACACAAAATTTGAAATAACAATATTAATAATATAATGTAATACACCTCTTAAATGATTTGGGTAAATGTGTCTGTTAGTTTCTGGAAGAAGCTAGTACGTGTTTCTAAAATTGTCAGGTCGTTCATGTGACCATTTTGTTCAACCCCCAAAAAATGGTCTGAGATAGAATTATTTGGCTGCTGGGAATTATTTTGTTATGCAGAACTGCTACAACTACGTTTTTAGTTAGAATTACTGTTTTAAAAATGTGTTGAAAAATATGCAAGGAGAATGTTAGATAAGACTTCACTTTAAAAATGAACACGTTGAACAAATTATCCACAGACCTACTCCTGTGAAAGTTTTAATAACTGAAAGGTGAAAAAAATGAGTATTTATGTTGATACTGGGCTTGGATGAAGCAGATAGAGGTGGGTAAAAAATGAGCTCCAGCTGAGACAGTGAGATACCTGTGTTCATTACTAACGTAACTCATGTTTCATGTTATAAAACAGACCTCTGGTACTTTATCTAATTTTTGCAGATCAGGTAATTCAGATTTTAGTGACACATTTTTTTTAACTTGGCAGTACTTGACGACAATTATTCCTTATGAGAAAAAAAATGGGCCTCCATCTGTTGAAGATCTCCAAATATTAACAAAAAGTGAGTAAAGACAAAATTAAACTATTGTCTTTTGCTGATTCTCAATACTGATTTTAGTTGGCTGGCTACATTGCTGTTGTTATTGTTTTATTGGTTTCGGGTAGCAAATGATGGGTGTCATCCTATATTCTTTTGCGAATGAAACTATACATGGTTATGACATCTAATGCAACACTAAATCTAGAGTTGATTTATGGTTTTAAAAATTTTTTTTATTTTCTGGCCTCTTAAAATATGTACAGGCTGAACTTTTTTGGGGGGGGACGTAACTTGATTCTCCATTACCGTTTGTATGTTTAAGAACATACCCATTTATCAGTTAATAAGTGCTTCATGGATCTTACGTAAATATGACTGTCAATAACTGATTAGGAAAGATTTAGAATAAGTATGACTAACACACTCTCTCTCTTTATTTTTAATANATGACTGTCAATAACTGATTAGGAAAGATTTAGAATAAGTATGACTAACATACACTCTCTCTCTTTATTTTTAATGAATGTAGAACCCTAGGCAGTAGTTATAGGTAGAACATAAATTNACACACTCTCTCTCTTTATTTTTAATAAATGTAGAACCCTAGGCAGTAGTTATAGGTAGAACATAAATTGATGGTGATAATTTAAAAATGTTCATTCAATCAGCAAACATTTGATGGAGACCTACTCTGTACCAGGTCGTGTTCTGGGCACATGGGATACTTTAGTGGACAAAGCAGACAAAAATACTCTAAATCTAACAAAAGTAACCTATCAGACCTACCTATACATGATATTGAGTGTCTCCTATGATAGCCATAAATGAGGCCTGAGTTCTGGTTCTGTTCCTGTCACTTACAGGGATATCCTTAGAAATCACTTAACCCTCTCTTGGTCATAGTGAAAAATGCAGCTAAAAATAATCGCTCCATTTACCTCATAGTAAGTAAGTAAATTAATGTACAAGGTGGGGCAAAAGTAGGTTTGCAATTGTTCGTATGGAAAATAATACAATAATTAATAAATAGTGCAAGAATAAACTTTGTATTTCACGTACTCACAACTGTAAACCTACTTTTGCCCGCCCTGTATATGTGATTTGGGGTAGCTCAGTCCCTTAGCCTTGTTTTTCCTGAAGGGACTGAATTTGCTGATCTGTTAGGTTCTTTCTAACTGTAAATATCTGTGATGTTAAAGGGGAGCCAGATGAGAGCATCACATGAATGGAGATTGGTGATGCTCTTTTGGGAGAGGACATGGAGACATGGGTCCGGGAGCACAAGGAAAAAGCGAGTGTCTCGTTTACTAGCTGCCTGCCTGCTAACCGGAAGCTTTTATTCGTTCCTTTGGAGACTAGTACTTTAAAAACATTTAATGCTTAAATATGGATAAATCAAGTGATGCCAGTCAGTCTAAAATAAAGAATTAAGAGATTGGGTGGCTAGCTCTCTAATTTTCAGGAAGAACTTAGGAAGTTTTGAGTGTCCAAGATCACACAGGGGAATGGTTAATCACAGGGCTGGGCCTCTTAATTCCCACTTTTAATGATGCTGGCTTTTGGCTTGTGGTTTTATAAAGAATTGAAAACAAATCTAAAATATGATTGGAAGCAGAAATAATGGACTTAGCTGCCCTCTAAGATGGGAACATAAATACTGCCTAGAAGTTAGGAATTACTGAGAGACCTCGCCTTCTCAGGTCAAGGACAAACATTTGCCCGGTCAAACCAAGGTCATCATAATTCCCATGTCAGAGTGTCCTCAGACCGACTCTTAGGTGACACCGTCCTAGTTTGACGCAGCTTGGAATCTCCGGGTGAGGGAACATGCGTAGGTGTGTGAGTGCACGTCCAAGTTAATACAGTTACGAGGACAGGGTTGTTGAAGATCAGAAAGTGGCCATCTCCGGAGAACTTTGGTGAGAGCCTGAGTCTCTGCTCCCACCGCCTGTGGATGGTAGCCCAGGGGAAGGAGGCCCTGGGAGGCAGTGTTTGTGGTTACGTAGCCTTCCTGGTAGAAGCCATCGGAGGTGAAATAATAAGAGTTATAAGAGTTAGAATAATATTAGTCGCCTTAACAATTACGGCCAATGCTTGCGCAGCGTGTCACGCGCCGGGCACTATTCTGGTCGGTCACATCGGAACTAGTAACTGCACACTCAAGCCTTTGAGGCGGGTAGCTACTCTCCTCTTACGGCGAGGAGCCTGGCGCCCTGCGTGGTGAAGCAACTCGCTGCGAGCCCCCTGAGGCGGCGGCAGGGCCGGGCTTCAGCCCGGGAGCGCCGATGGCACTCACTGCGTCGCGCTGTCCTGTCTGGGGGGAGAGAGGCATTTTCCCCACGACGCTCCGGAGGACATTAGAGTGTCAGCCACTGCAGAAGTACAGTATTTGTTTGTGGGCTTAGCTGTACCTGGGTGGTCTAGGGTTTTTTTTAACCACTATAATAGCTGTTTTTTTTCCCGTTTTGTTCTTGCTTAGAGATAAAATGGGCAGGTTCCCTTTAGGACAAGGTGCATTCACCCAGGTTCCTAGGTAGGTAGAGGCCGCGGCACCCTGGCCGGCGGTGCTTCGTGGGCGTCTGGTCTTCATTTTGGTCTTTTCTTTAGAAGTTCCAAGAAGGCTGGCAGATACGCAGCTTGGAGGGCAGATACGCAGCTTGGAGAGCACAGCTAAGTGCCCATCTGCAGCGCCGAGGCTCCCGCGCTTTGTGGGAACCCTCTCCAGCGTTTACACGGCACCGAGGCTCCGTGAGAGTCAGCGGGCTCTTTCCTGCCTCCGCTGTCCGTGAAACCGGGGAAGTGACCCTCCGGGGACCGGGACAGCCTTCCCTGCATAAGGACTTACTCAACTAAAATAAACTCCTGAGCACTTGCAGGTGTAGTCCCTTACCTAGCAAACACTGCTTTGGGTGAATTGGTTATACCACGTAATTAACGAAGACTGAGGCTACAGTGATTGGAATTAAATGGTATTTTTGATCTGAATTTGAATTCTGCCTTTCCCTTCTCTCTTATTTCGTAGTCCTTCGTGCCATGAAAGAGGACAGTGAGAGAGTCCCAAGCTTGTTAACTGATTATATACTGAAAGGTGAGTGGTGCAGTGGCTTTCGAGCAGTGGTCGGGAGGTTCTGATTAGTCAGTAAGTGCATGGTCTTGCTGAGAGAGTAAAAGTAACTTTCAAAAGCACAACCTTGATTAATCTCATTTATGCAGGGTGAGGACACATGGCTTAATGTGCTACCAACATTATAAATTCTGGTTCCATAAAACTTAACTTTTACTCAGGTCCTGGGGGGGCAATCATTTCCATGGCTAAATTATAAACATCGAGGCAGGGAGTGGAGGAAATAGTATGGAAATATTGCCGTAATTAGGAGTCATTAAGGGTCTCAGCTGTCGGCACTGGGAGGGCTTGAGAGGGTGGTCTCTGCATCCTGGGGCCAGTGCGAAGAGGATGGGTCGGTAGGATGGGTGAGGGAGGGAACAGTTACCCCGTGAACAGTTCAAGGGGACTGGAACAGGGGTTGGTGTGAGGGACAGGGAGGGCAGCAGGCAAAATGAAAGGAATGGACCTGCATGAGCCCAGGACAGTGGAAAATGAGCCGTAAATCTTAGGCGCAAGCTGCAGATCACACAGGATGGGCATGGTGACGGGGCAGATGGTCATGAGGTCGCCTACTTTCTCGGGGAAGAGCAAAATCTGGATGAGAGGGACTGAAGAATTTAGTTACAGGCAAAACTGATACTTCTCAGTGAAATGACATTTTGAAAAGTAGCAGTTACTCAGGTGACAGATTTTCAGAGCATCACAAAATGCACCCTGTGGTGGTTGATCCACTTGAAGAGCAATCTCTTCTGGTAACTTTTCTTTTTTTGGGTTTTCTCCCTCCTCTCTCAGTTGTTAGTTTAACATAAGGTTGGGACTTCTGAGACGTTAGGTAACTCAGATGGGACATTCCTTCAACCATAGCTTCAGCGAGGGAATCTCAGGGTAGGCACCAGCAGCTAAAAGGGAGCAATACTAGCATCACCTATGAGGGGCTTGATGTGGAGCCAGCCAGCCAGCCATTAGTTAACAGAGGACAGGAAAGACATCGTGGTTTGTGTGTTTATCATAAGCTGTGTTTTTCTGATGAAGGCTTTTTCTTCTGATTACATTCTGATTTTTTAAAGTATCTGACACCTTTGTTTGCTTTTGTGTTGTGCTAGCGTTGGTATGAAGCTGGATTGTTCTGAGGTTGGTTCTTACAGATGTGGAACAGGAATGAGATGAACATAAAGGACATGTTCATTTCTAATTGTCGTGGGTCCCCAGGGCCTTGCCAGGAGGGGCAGAGAAGGAATGGGCTGCTGACGCATTCTCTAGCTAGTCTATCTGACTTCATGGGAGAATTTTATGACCCGGAGAAGAGTGTCTGGGGGGAAATGATTTTTAATTTTTCCCTCTAAAACCCAGGCTGTACTTGTGAACCTAAACCGCACGCCTCAGGGAAGGAGCACCCATCCAGCTCTGCTCCCGCGCTCAGGCCGCGGGCTCCTCCGTGAGCCCCGGGCTCTCTGCTCTGTACCTGCTTCTGCCCAGCTGCTCGGATGCATGTCTTGTGATTTTGTCTTGTGATTTTGTCTTGGCTTTGTGTTGGAAGGACTGGGTGGAAAAGCAGCGAGGGTTCAGATGAAAGTGGTGACAGTGTCACCCAAGAAAATGGAGGGGAATGGAACTCTCAGAGGTGTTCAGGTGCACGGGAAGGTGACGACGTGGGGCGATTTCAGTGCCAGTTTCCACCCATCCTGGAAACCCACCACCAGCCGATTCCTCTCCCTCTGGGACCAGTAGTAGGACCCTTGCCTGGGGAGGGGTGTTGCTCCATGGAGAGCTTGCCTTCTCTTTCCTTGGTGGCCTTTCTTTTCTTGTTTTACCAGTGACCGTGGCCTGGCCGCCTACATTAAAGTAATTTGAATGTGCAGGTGAGAAGTGCAAGAAGGTAGAAAGGCGGCCTCACCGGCCTGAGGAAGGCGGGAGGGTGCTGCAGGGCCACGTGAGCCGCCTCGCCCCCCGCAGTCAACAGCTGAGCCAAAGGCTAGGAGTGCGGTGCGGCTGCCACCCTGCCGACCCTAGACAGGGACAGACACGCGTGCAGAGGCTGGCACCTGCCTTCTGAGTCTGCTTTGTTACAAGCCTCATGGTGCAGGGCTAACGTTATGGGCTTCTCTCTAAGGGGTGCCCTAAGAGACATGGTCTTGTGGTATCTCATTTCCGGGCAAGTCTAATAAATGTCTTAAGAGAATGTTTCATTGTTGGGTGTAGCCTTTAAAAACTCTTTTTTAAATTGCTACTATAGATCCTTGCATTAATAGTTCTCATTACTTACTGGTGTTTTTTACATAGCTGTAAGATGTGTATAAAATGAATATGCATCCTGTGTAAAAAGATAAATACGCATTTGTGTTTTTTTCTCCCTCCAGTTCTGTGTCCCACATAGGGCGGCCTCACGGCGAGGAGCTAGGTTTCCTGCAGCGTTGCTCGAGAGCCGGCCCCCCTTGCCTCCCCGCCAGCGGAAACTCGCACACCCGAACTTGGATTTGTGACGCAGTATTAAGAGATCACGCCTTCACTCATTCTTTATATTACGAACCAAGAGAAATGTGGCACCATTTTGAATTCTGGGGATGGCTTTTTGTTAAATACGAACAATTCTGAGCTCTCCTCCAACTTTGTAGAGCAGGAGGGTGATACATGGATTATGCATGTGCATTTGTTTTTTATTAACTGTATGCCCATTTGCGTTTTTATGGCTCTCTAGACCTGAACTACATGGAAGAACTGGATTAAGCCATTGAGAGATTTATACTATAGCTGTTTTTTGGTGATGGCAAAAACCAACACTGATTTTTAAAAGAAAATTGTCAGTATAAATAGCACCCACCAGTATTGTCCAGAGACAGAAACTTGAGCTAGTCTCACAAGTGAAACCAGAATGTGTTATTTTGGCTTAATGCTTAGTGAATGTTGGAACTGTCGGTGATGACTGGTTTTAGAGGTTGCTGCGTATTTTACCGCTGATCAAATTTTAACCATTAAGTTGCCACTTACTTGCAGAATCTTGTTTAACTTTAGATGTTTGTGTTGTTTCACGTGTCTGTGAAGTGTCCTTTAAAAGGGGTCTGTATCCTTAAGGTGCTTAAGAAGCTGTAAGCTGCAGCATTGCCCGCCCCCCACTACTGTGTTACAGTGCCTCATGCCTGCGTGTCCTCCCCAAGTGCTAATCCTAGAAACAGCCGCTCCTGGATACTACATCACTAGCCATGAAACACTTCTGCCCGTTCCAGTCAAGTCAGTGTCCTTCAATAAACGCTGAAAAGAACGTCGTGTGCCTGAGAGCTGTTTTTTATTTTCAGAGTTCTGGGTGTCGTCTTTAATGATTTCTCTCCCCTGCAGCGCCGGAGTCTTCCCCTCATTACTCCACACACTGCCCATCACTGGCGAGGCTGACCAGCCTCCTGATGTAAGGGGTGGGCAGAGGGACGCCTCGGGTTGCTGAGCTGCCGGGGAACGACAGGAGTGCTCCCTTTCTGAGCCTGTGCGACATTCACGGGGAGTAAGAGTCTGTACAGCTGCTGAGGACCCCGAGGGTCGGCCGATGGACAGCCCCCAAACAGAAGGACTGCCTGTCTCTCTAACCCCAGGTGTGGGATTACTTTGAAAGTTCCATGGTGTGATTTAAAGTTCCAAGTGTTTATTTGCTGCCAAGAACCAAACTGAAAGCATCCCCCTCACAGCTCTGGCTTTAAAGAAAACGAACAAACCGAGGCGCTCCAGTCACGCCAAGTGCCTGCCATAGATCTATTTTATTCTCCAGGAAATTATATTTGTTTTTCTTTAACAAGAGCACAACAGGAACCAAAGTAGAAGAGGAACAGATACAGCACTCAGGATAAATCATATCTTTAAAATAATAATAACAAAATTTACACCTTGCCCTATATCCTGTTAGTATTTTCATAATGTGGCCATGATTGAAAAACAAAAAGCAAGCATTTACAATTTTTTTGATAAAGACTTTTTATGCCAGGAATGGATTAATTGTCAACAAAATTTTATAATAATCAGGCTGATGTAAATCTAGTTTGGTAACATCATATCATTAACAAATTTATTTTGGAAATAGATAAAAATATTGCCCCTTGATAATAAATCTTTTTTTCTTTGATGCAAACAGCTAGAACACCCTTTTCTCTTTTTTTTTTGATATTCTAAGACAAAGAAAATGGTTAATCTTCAGATTAATAAATTAGGTCATTATAATAATAAATTAATTTTTTTTTAAAGTTCAGCAACCTCTGTCCAAGTATTTACAACAATACTTGGAAGTTTCTTTACAAAACAGAACACATTTTCTTTTCACATTAAGCATACTGGGTATCTGTGTCTTTCACAACAAGCATTTTTAAAAGAAAAAAAAAAAAATCAATGCACAAGTGGGTAATTAGTATAAAAGTGCTAAGAGCTGTTTGAAAAGTCAACACTATAGTATACAGTCAGTTATATTTGAGGCAAACTACAACAAACTTCCAGCTTATTATGGACAATATTCCAGTAGTTGTTTCAAACAGTTGTTTGAGAAAAAAACACACCAAAAAACCCAGGAGCTGATTAGTGATGCAGATAAACTGCCATCAATGTTTTTGGCCAGTGGAGCGAATTGAAAACCAACTGAAAGCAAATCCAAATGAGGAAGATTTACTAAAGAAATACTTTCTCCATAGCAGGTGTGATGCTGGCGGCCGAGGCGTGTGCGTACACACTCTCCCCCACACTCACGCACCTTCCTTCCCGTTTAAACTGTAGGTAGAATGAAACCGTGTTATTCAAAAATTTGTAAGTGATCAAAAGCATTGATATGGAATGCCTGTTTGTCTTTGTTCTGGTTAAAATCTCATAAAAATACATTCAACAGGAAAACATAAATTGTATGTGTATAAATATATATGTATATATATTATATACACACCCACACAAATACTTTTGTGTTTTTTTTTTTGAAGTAAAAGATAGTTACATAAATATTCCTATAATTGCTAAAGTTTAAAGAGGCATTTTTTTTTTGAGCTTCAACAAAGGTGCTTGAATAATATACAATTAAAATGAAGTAGTTTCTATTTCGTAGAATCAGTATATAATAAGAAAAAAAAAAAATCCCCAGTCTTTTTTTTTTAAAAGTTTCTTCTTAAGCTAGAGCTTCAACAAAAACTGAACAAACAACAATCTTAACAGAACAAAGCAACAACGACGAAGTGTAGCCCCTGGAAGTCCCCGGCGGCCTTCACCTCTCCCGCCCTGCCCCGCCGCCCCGGAGCTCCGCGCCCACCTCGAGGTGACTGGGTGCTGCCCGCCCGGGACGCCGACGGAGGAGCAGAGAGCCTGACGGGCTGCACCCTCAGTGACCCCCTCGGAGACACGCGGCCCCACACTGCCCTCGCTTCCTCCCTGCCCACGCAGCCGGGACTGGACAAGGGGACTGGCTTTAGGCCTGGGACGGCCACCGAAGGTTCTGACGCGCGCCTGCTGGTGCCAAGGCGGCCGCGGCCACCGCAGGCCTGTTGTGTCGCCTGCGGGCTCAGGCCTGAGCCGCCG